TCTAGGTTCCAATGCCTTGTCAGAATTCGTGAGAAACCTGATTTTCAATTTCGCGAGCAAGAGGGAACCTATCAAAATTCAGATAAAAATTTGCACACTCGATGAAAAGTTGATGGATTTGAAATTTCAAATTTGTCAGTTTTTCATAGCATTTTGTAATGGAAGCAAAAGCAATTACTGCAGTTTTTGCCGCCGAGGATAATGGCGAGTAATTCTGCGGCGGAAATAGCACGTAGATCTACGTAAGATTTAGAAATGATAGATCGTCACAGAACGAGGAGCACGAACAGCACGTATCGCGGAAAACACAATCTTTCAGCAGAAAAACACTTCCAAGGGTTCTGGCAAAGTAGATTAATCTCATTCGTTTCCTCTGCTCGTCAGACAAGAACTAATCTGCAGTGGAACGGAACAAAGCCATTTCAGAATAGAGATTCACACATTTTCTGAAAGACGTTTGCAATTTTCAAAATATACAAACGCTGCTGAAGACTGAACCTAACAAACTAAACTTTATGATGTCCAGATGCGCCTTTTCATCTAAAGTATATGATACCGTTCCTGAGAAGCTTACAAATACGAGTCAATGTTCGAGCTGTTTTAGAGAGAATGAATAGCACCCTTCTAATGTGAATCCTGCGGTTATTTTTCCATCACAGGATTGATTCTTCCTTCTGAATACTTGATATGATTATTATTTTATTTGGATAAATTATTCGGAAATTACGTAATAATGTACATGCAGTTCAGTATCAGACTTCTTCTTGATCGGCTCAAACAAAAATCATTGTCGTATTGGAAACATGCAGTAGTGATATTATAAAATTGCATCACATAAGCTGAATAAATGCATGCGCCGTTTTCGTCCCAAAAAATGAAAAATAACAAAATAAAGGTTGACGATGGAAAAATAAGCAAAGGCTTTAGAAATGAAAAGCAGGAAATTGCTACACAATCTGCGTGAGTTTAAAGAAAAAGCGAGGACAATAATAGTTTTACAATGAATAAATTACTAAATTTCGCAGAATATTTTATAATAATAGATGCGGCCCTCGTTTCTCATTCACCGAACATACTCAGCACTAAAAAACTTCTTAATGCCTCCGATTTTGATTTCCGAAACTTTTCCTGCAATTTTAAGTGAATGTTACCTTGCAAATTGATGGAATCAAACAGAGTTTGAACGTAAGGCTGTATAATAACTATTCATGATTTTTGAAAGTCCAAGTATTCAATTCCTGCCTTTTCGAGCAATATTTCAAAGATTGACTGAATTGCATGCGTAATGAACCATCCATTCGGTATTCCAGGAATGACTGCATAATTCGAGTCACAAATAGCTGAAGAGGATTAAACGAATCAAGTGAATAATGGTGGGATTAAAAACGCGCATTTGGTAAATCAAACTTCATTTGGAGTGGCTCTTTCGTGGACGCTTTAAAATTGGCTATAGCACTAGAAGTGTGTGGCAAAAAAAACATATTTTAATGGAAGGGAACGTGGTGTTCAAGTGATAAGAACCGCTTTTTGAATTTTTTAAAACTAAGTTAGATAACCATCATTTACATTTTGTAATCGAGGAAGTTTCATCCATTTCTCGAGAAGTGGCACAGACCTCGTTCTGTATCTCTTTTCTATTCTGAAGTTATCTCGACGAACGACCTTTCCCCGTCAAGGGGAAATCATGGAAACGTTCCGTGGGGAACTTATAATTTAATAACTTGGTCGATGAGTCCTAGACTGAGTCGAATCCGTGAGGAAGACGGGGAATTTCACAAAGTAGCTGAGGAACGGTATGCGTCTCCTCTCATAAGAACGTCCTCGAATAACTCTAGCAAAGGATAGAGATCACGAGCGGAATACGAGAAGTTGTATCTACGTATTGTTTGCAGAGAGTCACCAACAGAAGATGCGTGTTCTCTTCCTTCTTTCTTCCTCTTCATTTTTTCATTCCTTCATCTGCTGGCGGAAGCGTTGAACCGGACGAGGGAGAAAGAAGCTGGCGATTTCTATGAAAGCATCGGAAATGCTGTCGCCATCCCCGGCAGCTGCGACTCGGGAGTGCGTCCTCGGGCCTCATTTTTCATCGCACCTCTTGATAGTCAGCGTCGTCGCCAGCCTGGATAGAATCGATTACCCAACGTGTTGTTAATTTTGTGTCGGGCCCGGGAAGAACTCCGTTTGGCAATTGGAACTGATGTGATCAGTGCGGAAGTAGGGATCGAAAAACTCGCGGGAGTTGGATCCCTGGACCCGATTCCAATTCCGCCGTCATTTCGCGGAACGAGGCGTTGTTGGTATTCGCGGAAGCAATTCGTTTTTTTTTTGCACCGGGAGTGATGAAGCGTTGTTGAAGGGTTGCTTGACTCCGCTGGGGAATGATACCGACGCTTCAACAACTATATAGACACCCCGCTTTCCAGCCAAGGAGTTCAAATTTTCCCCAATTGGCCTCTTCCGCGTCGTCAAGCACCTAGGTGTGCTTTGCGAGCTCATGCAACCAGTTTGCATCATCCGGACGACCCCGTTCTGTATCTTCAAGCCCGGAAATTCGAAAATCTTTATTGCTTCAGCCTATTCTGATACATTTACTTCTTCTTCGCCCCCAGTTCAGAACAGAATATTTTTTATCCCCTGCGCCTCGTTCGCTTCCAAGTGGCCCTCCTGCAGATCAAGTCCCTCGTTCATATTAAAACTTGATGCGCCGGAATCATGATATTAGTGTCATTATCTCAAATGTTGGCATTATTATCGTGCGATTCTCCCGACTTCTTCGCGAATGAGTCATTCATGGAACTAGATCCGAAGGACAGAGATTTACGCGCGAACTGCGAATTTGTTTGTCTCCTGCTTCTGCCAAGTGTGCGGGATGGAGCATAGTATCTTGAAATATATTTCTTTAGCAATTTGAGTAATCGGAGTTCATCGGCAGTCGAGAGAACCTTAAAATGGATAAGACGACTGAAGAAAAATCCTTTTTTTCATTTTATGTGGAGTTTATTGAAGGCTACTTTAGGGCAACCCTCTCATCAAGAATTTCCAACAGCGAATTTGCAGAGATCAGTACTTATTTTAGCGAGACTATGGATGCAGGATCGAGGACATTTTCACTTGGGAGATATTCAAATTATGTTGACACTTTTTAGTGCATACGACGCGTTTGAATTAAAATTATTGCACATAAAGCTAATGTTCTTGTAGTTACAATAATTGCTTCTTCTCTCAGTTTCAACCTGGGTAATTGGAAATCAAAACAAAAGACAAAAAATAACCAAATATTTCTCAGTAAAAATCACTTAAATAAGAAGATTCCGACTCAGGAAGCACAATACTCTAGTATTGACAAATCTGATGAACCAGCTCTTTTACCCTCTCTTCTGGTTATACGGAAGTTGACGCTATTTCGCATTTGTTGCAGCACATGGCGGTGACATGATTTAGATGGCAATCTACGGAATAATCGATCCAATCAATTTCAAGCACATTTAGGTTTACGAAAAACGTTACGCCGTCAGTCGCGAAACTGGCCAACGTTTTCAGTCTCTGAGTCAGCATAAGCCTATGGTTCAGTTATTCTTCGTGCCTCAGATCGACTTCAGATTCCATGTCCGATGAGTAAAGAAGAAGGAAGGATTATTAAAGAAAAATTATTGGTTTATTCGCCAGTTCCTTAAACAAGATTATTTTATTCGGGGTATTCACAATTTTGTAGCCGAAGATAAGATTCAATGGGTTTAAAATTCTCTGAAAACTAGAAGATGCAGCGAACCGTTGACGCGTGCTGAAATTATGATTATTATTTTTTGCCTGAGGTTTATTACCGTCAAAAGTCCTTTCAGTTTAAAAATTGACGGATAGTACTGTAATGAAATCTTGTATTTTATTTCGCGCAGAGGTTTAGAAAGACTATGTGACAGGAGAATAATTTCTCCGAGAGAAAAACCTTAATTATAAAAATGCTATTACAGTATTGTGTAAAAATTTTCACGTTTGACTGCAGTGAGTGCAAATTTTCGAAGCAGCAATTCGTCATCGGAAACGTTTTCATGAGTCAGGCTCTCTGGTTTGTGTTTCTATTGTCACCGTGAAAAAAAGTGCTATTGTGTGACAACTTCGGAATACTGTACGTTGAATTGTACTGTATTCATCTGATGCAAATATTCGAATACAGTACAGTACTCTTCAGTTTGCGTGGGTTTCTTCTCCGAAAGACAAGACTGTCAAACTGATTCCCCCAGAGAATATATTGTTGAATGCGATGAAAAATAAAGTTTTGAATTCAGATGTTCGAATGAATTGTCAATATTCACACAATTATAACTGAGGAAAAGAAAAAGTTGGAGTTTTCCAAGTAAAGCCAGCTTTCACATCCCGAAATATAATTTTCCCCTTTTCTGGAGTGGTGGGCGAAAACAACAAGACGTTGAGGTTCCCTCGTATAAACGATGATCGATTTAAGACTTATGTGATAGATGCTCTCCTTTTTCCATTTCACGCATTTCACCTCGCATATCTTTGCATCGTTACACTTCAATAATTTTGCTTCGATGGAGACTATACGTTGATGAGTGCCGCTTTTTTTTTTCTAAAAAGGTATTATTTGTTTTATCGCCAACGTGCGCCTGAGAAGAATCGTCTTCACATCCTCGCCTCATAATGATTCTCAACAAGAATTTCTCTTCGAGTGCGATTACAAGTTCTAAACCTGCAGTTCCAAACTTCAAGCAGCACGTGTCCGATTACTCGACGGAATTAACACTGCATTCTTAGATCGTTTTGTGGGAGCAACGATTCTATACCCATGCGTGCCATGTGGGAACCTGAGATTTTTTTAGAGATAAAGTCTAGCTAGTTGCTGATCTGGATATCCTTGTGCCTGAGGCAAATGGGGCAATAGATTTTTCTAGGGCTTTCCAGGCTGCTTCGTCTTTTTTGCTTCTTCTTGTTACTGTCACTGTGTGCTGCGATCGAATGACAACGTTGTATTTGTCGTCCGACAGATGAGTGCAGACGGAAACATCACCTCGAGTACGCTCACGTTCATGCCGAAAGTCGACGACAACGGAAAGACGATCAAGTGCCTTGTTCGAAACGAAGAGATCGAACACGTCGTCATTGAAGACTCCAAGAAGCTTGACGTTCACTGTGAGTAATTTGTCTACTCTACGTCGTATTCCTCAAAGATGCTCGAGTGTCTGAATAAAATGCCGCTTTTATCCACCTACAACCAATTATCTTTTAAATTGTTTCCGCACTGAAAATGCATATTTGTGCGATGTGAAGCAAAACAGGAGCTGAGAAAGAGGGGGCGTGTTTCTCGCTGCAATCCTCTATTGCATTTTATTGTTCCGGGAACCAGACTCGGGAATGATTTCATCCCTCAATTTATCTATGCAAATGTCTGAGAGCAAGTTTTTTTTTTCTTTTCCTGTGCGACCCGTTTCTTGGCGGAGCTCCAGAGCACTTTCCAGATCGTAACAATGAATCTCGTGGTGCAACCTAAACCTCGAAACACCGTCGCGTGGTCAATGAAATTATTACGGACCACGCAGAAATACTACAGTAGTTTTTTCGAAGCTCAAAACTATGTGCATTGCGAAGGCCTTTCCATGCCCTAATAGAAGTTTATGGAAACCGGCGGGTTCTGCTCATTGCTTTTTAACTAGATCAGTGCGGTCAACGTGCAGTTCAAGAGGACGGAATATTTTCCATAAATCCCACGAACACTGTTATGCGTCTGAGATATTTTTGAAAACAGAAAAATCTTCTTTTACGATGAGAAAAGGCAAAAAATAGCAGTGATCGGAGGTATACATTTTAATTTTAAATCTCCGGAATTTTAGAATAATTCGGACGCTTGTGTGAATTTTTCAGAATCATGTGAAATGCAATAAAAATACGTGACATAGTTTTAGCAGTAAGCAATTGTTCAGCATTTTTGAGAAAGTCAGAATAACGGCTTCCAAAGGTGAAAAATGTGTTGATAAATTTCCTGCTGTGAGTGAAAATGTCAATGTTCGTATCCTGGTACCGGAGTATGATAATAAGAAGCGGGATGAAATAGTGTGCGAAATTTATGAAGCATTGCGTACTGTAGAACCATTCTCTATTTTATAGTATTTTAAGGAAGATGCGAGCAAAGGGTTACGATATTTCTCGTGTCATTTTTTGACCATCAAGCTCACGCATTTTTCGTTCGTTGTTGCTACTTTGAGACCTTAATTTTCTCCCCCCGAGATGGAGCTGTCGAAAAGTATTTTAATACCGTTGCATACATTTCCGGTATGCCTGTCAAATGGCCTGAAAGTGACGAGTAAAATTTTATAATTTAAAAATGCCCGCTTTAATTCAGGAAAGTGACGAAGACCTCTCTTCGCGACCGAAGTTTCTCGCCAACGTTTCCCAGCACTTCGTCTTAGGAATCCTTTCTTTATTTTCAAACCCAGAAGGCTCACGTCTTGCGTATGCACCCCTATTTACGTAGATGGCAATCGATAAGAGTGTTTTAGTAGCCTATAGCCCTTGCAAACAAAATGCCCATAAAGAAGGAAAATGCGGCCGTGAGTCAACTGAAATTGTGCGTCTATATCGTCCATGTCCTTGGCTGCAAAAGCAGTCGGATACCCCTGGCCTAGCTCTTGTCAAGTCGCGTGCGTGGTGCACTAAAAGGAACTTGACGTGAAACGCTGGTTGAGCCCGCAATGGAATAACAGTGCGAGGTTCGTGTGGATGTTCAGCTTGTGACTTCCCGAGAAGCCCTGAGCAGCGAGAGAAGTCTTCGTCACTTTCCTGAATTAAAGCGGGCATTTTTAAATTATAAAATTTTACTCGTCACTTTCAGGCCATTTGACAGGCATACCGGAAATGTATGCGAGAGAACCCCCCCCCCCCCCCCCCCCCCGTGCTTCCGGGAATACAATGAGATTTTCCCGAGGAAGAAAGTCTAGCCCTCACGAATGCGACTTCTCCTCGCGGACTATGCAGCGTTTCGGGAACGACGTAACAGCTCCGACTGCTATCCTCGTCACCTCTAGAAATATGTATGTTTTCTCTGCATTCCCCAAGAGTCCGGAGACGCTCAGCCAATCCCACTTGCCTCGGCACTTTGCCCTGCGCTTTCCCATGATTGTTCTTCTCCGCTCGGTATCCTGCAGTTTCCAAAAGTTACTTCCGGGCGAGCGGAGCATCATTGAGTCTTACGCTGAACACATGTTAACCCGTGGCTTGACGCCCGATTTGGTACAGATTGCTCAACTTTTTCTCGGAAGATGAAGAATTAGACGCAAACTTTCCGTCGGAGGCCGCCGACTAGGTCGAAGGTCAGCGTTTCACTAAGTCGGAAATTGGCAACTGCGTCGGAAAAAGGCTTCAAATACACATTGCAGGCTTACCCATTGCAATTCTTGGAGATGCAAATAGTTCAGAATTTTTTTTTTTTGCTTCACGGCCTCAATTGGTTGGAAGATATAACCTTGAATTTCGGATAAACCGTTTAAAACCTCATTCAAGCATTCCGCAACAAAATCTTCGTCGAAAAGGGGTGCTATGTTTACGTGAAACTCTAATATGGTTTGAGAGCCAGCATTAATGCGCTCATATATGATCATGGTAAACCGAGACGAGTGGGTTCAGGCATGAGCTTTCAAAGGTTGTTACTGTCGTAGCTCGTCGGGAAATGTATTTCCACTAGCAAACAAGCTCTTCATGAAATTATCTCGCAACGTTGTGAGCCCGGAAGGCATTGTGGGACGTCCAAGCTTTGTGCAAGAATAATTCGGTCCGTCTGAAAGTGCGCTTTTCTCCACTGCGAAGGTTAGTGTTCCTCTGTACTGCGTACTGACCGCAGAAGAGAGTTGTCTTCGCTTGACAGCGAGGATTCCGTTGATGGTCCCGTGTTACACCGCCACTCTGGAAATAAGTGATGAAATCTTGCAAGGGACTCTCATGAAATATCCTGTTTCAATCCTTGGGCTGAAACATTACAATTTTACGGAACTATTCATGATACGGTTTAAATTTTTAGGCGGGAATGTGTGGAAGACGAATTCGTAGTCATTCTTCTGGCTTCGAAAGCAAGTGATTAATAATACGGTTTTTCAACAGGGCTATAGACCTGTTTCTGATGAAGAATATGAAAGTAAGACCCCCACATGCGGACACCTCAACATGAGGACATTTATTTTTCATTAAAAAATCATTAAAAAGGCCCGACATACGGACACTGACTCAACATGAAGACATAAATAGGACATTGCATGATAAAATTGCCAATAAATTTTAGGAAAATTGACTTTTATTAGGCTTCATTTCAAGGAATGGATATTTCCAACCCTAAGATCTATGCAAGAAAAATTTCTCGGTACTTTTCCCCATCACTTTCCCATCCAATCAGCTAATTAAAAAAATCACCTATAGCACAGAGTGGCTTTGTTCTCTCTTTGTGACTTGGATGCTATTTTTACAGATGCCAACATTTAAATTAACTGTCCCTTACTCCCTTGGTATGATATTCAATGCTCCAAATGTTCTTATTGGGTTGAAAAGATATTCACTTAATCAAATTCAAGTGGCAAACAATTTTCATGAAATTCTGAGGAATATTTCTTCCATAAAACACCAATGAAAATTATGTAACTAAAGTCTATGGGAAAACAAGACTCGACTTAGGAACAATCCAACTTGAGGACACTCTTGATATGCACCAATTATGTCCGCATCTCGGGGTCTCACTATATTCTTCACTGTGAAAGGGGCTAAGTAGATGAACAGGCAAAAATATAGATCTGTGGTTCTGGGGAAAACTCGGAGGCTTCTCAGTCTCCCTGATTACCATGTATTTATGCTGAACTGGGGAGGCAATTAAAACAAGACGCATAACTCCGGATTTCCAGAAAATTGAAAATGCTTCGAGGGCTGAGTGCAGCTGTCTGGCTTCTCTTCTGATTTTCTCCCACCTAAGTCGCGACTCGCGAGGCTTTTAAAGTTTCGAATGAAATTTTTTTTATTGTAAGCTGTGCGGATTCTAAATGCAGATGGCTTTAGGAACCAAGTTTTGTGCGCCTGGGACGAAAAGGAGGCTTTGTTACTCAAATGGCTCGACTATGCTGAGTTGATAAAGCTAGATTTATGCAGCACGAGTATCGAATATCGCTGCTGCCAGCCCTTCGAATTCGTATCAATATGCGCCGTGGGTGACGACAAAGCGGAACGAAACCCAAAGTCGTTTAAAGGCTTCCCCACGGCCCGTCTGCGGTCGTTTCGTATTATAGCGCCACGGCTGTAAACTTTGGCTTTTTCTCTGGTCACGACAGAGCTAAAGTCCACAGTGGTATAGAATTTTCGAATAGTCCGTCGTCGACTTCGTCTACCTATTTCCGTACTTCATTTTCGGAGCGTCGTTAAATCTGCCCGATGCATGTTTCCACTGACAGACACGATGAGTGCAAACCCTTGCTGGGTGATGAACTCGCCTCGTGGGGAATCTTGTTCGGGATAATTATGATTTAATCATCACGCACGCGCTTCGACTTGAGAGAAGAAGACGAATAGCATAGTTCCCTGCGAAGTAGCACATGTTCCGTGCTGGCTTCGGGTCTGCTTGTTTCCTTGTTTTAATGCCGTGTGGGGTTTCGGCGGAATGAGCTGAAATCCGGCCCCCCTTGCGAAAATGTCCCAGTTTTCATTTCCTTCCATATACCTCCCGTCTCGCGATAATTGCGGATGACGATGGAACAGTTCCGAGACATTAGACTTCGCGGATGTGTAATTATTGCGCGTCTCCGGGACACGGAGGTGCGGTCGAAAAAACGTTTCAATCTCGCCGCTCGTTCATCAACCATGTCGGATTAGGAGGGCGACGTGGCGCGGCTCTTATCGCTTGACAAATCTCTTCGTGGGAAGATATCCAGCCTCTTCGCCCTCTGAGCTCCTCGCAACCCGGGAAATTCCTGACGACTCCGCCGGGTTTGATGGCAACGCGAAGTCGTCTTGCTCCCTTCGCTGCCGACAGGAATATGAAATACGACAGTAGTGCCCCTAGCACAGGGAATGCCTCGAACAACGAACATACCTTTCTCACGCCGTCTTGGGGGCTTCAGGAAAAATTGTATTTAAATAAGGAACCTAATCCCCAACAAACTAAAAAAAACTTCTTCTTGGAGGACGGAAATCGTGATGTCAAACAACTAGGCATCCGGGATGTTTTCATCATCGCTGATATTTTCGACCATTGAGGCTAATCTTCGTGCGAAAAGTCATAATTTGAAAGAGAAAATCCAGACAAGAAAACATGACGTTATCTTCCAGTCTGCTGTCCCAGGGCAAAACATGTGTATAGTTCAAGTGCAATACGAATCAATTTTTCCAAGGACGGAGCAAAGCTCTTGCCATAAATTTGTAAGTAAATTTGTGTTTATCAAAGAAAAATCTCTCCCGGGGAAGATTAATTTGATAAAATAAGTGAACCACTTGTTGGACGAAATTAAATTCATTGGTTGAGGCATCACATTGGTAATTCTATAGATACTGTGCCCACAAAAAAGTTGATATTCCCGGGAGTTATGAAAATTGAAATTTTTTTCGGAGGTAGGTGGAACAGAATGAAAGAAATGGAAAACCCTGGCACGTTCCCAACGACGTGGCACGATTTTAATTTTTTCTCCAGCAGTATTTTACGACTGTAAAAATAAAGGTTAGATTTTTGATTCTTTATCGAAAAGGATCCTCTCATAAATTCTCAACTGATTCAACAGGCGGGGAAGAAAAAAACATATGCGCTCTTCCCTTCTCTCCAATTCTTGGTAGAAAATAGTCGTCTTGAGCATGCCACTAATTCCCTCCCATTCTTAAAGCACCAGTCATGAGTATTAACCTGGAAAAGTAGAAAAAACGTTCAATTCTCTCTTAGAGGCCAAAGAATTGTGGTTGTCCGTATGATGCCAAGAATTTCCACTACTTCCACCTTGTCCCGTCCATCCGTTGACACAAATTTCATATTTATATGTTCGTAAATCCCGGAAATATCCATGTTTTTCGGGTTTAGTAGCGCGTGGATCACCGGTAGAAGCACGTTTTACTCAGCGTGACGAGGTTCCGAAACGGCGCAAGATCACGCGGAAAAGTGTTTGATCCTCTCATCACTCACGATTTATTTTTCCCCTGCGCAGGAAAAGTTGATTTCACGGTCGAATTTCCGACGCGATGCCCGTTCATCGCCGACAATCTGAGCAAAAATAAAAATATAAAATCTGGAGCGTAGCCTTACGGACTAGATGAATATTGCTTTCACGACCATCGACCGGTTTGCAGTGGGAAAGAATCAGCTTCTTCACCGTAACTTCGGTGTATTGAAGAACATCCTGTTCCCGAATCCGTAACAATATGATTGATTAATGATCACTCGGATATGCCCCAGTCCGCGCTCGAGTTCCTTTGAGCTGGCAATTTTTCTCCCGGTTAAAATTATGGTGACGCCTCATAACGCCAGCTGTGTTGGCGGGTATATTTTCGATCGCGTTTTTACCTCATGACCCGCGTCTAGTTCCGCGCTCGACTTCCTCCGGCGATCCCACGTCAAATATTGCAGCAGCAATGAACATGGCTTTTCCTTTTCAGAATTACGACATGGGTTTTCCTCCGAGAAACGAGCCTGGTTGAGTCGAGGCGAGCGCTACTCCCGTCTTCTCTTTCTCTCGCTTTCTCTGGAGATGGAGAAACAAACTTAGGTGCAGGGGTGTGTGTGTTGGGGGGGGGGGGGATAAGCTTCCTTATCGTCCAGCGATTCCCGGGGTGACCCGCTGAAATTTCCGGGACGCCGAGGGCGTAGCGATCAATCCAGACGAAACGATGCACAATGTACAGCCCTGGAAAGTGCGGAGAAATTAATGAAGTACGATAGTTAGTTCATGATCCCCAAGGAGCACCGTCTCTCCGACTCAGAAGTTCCGCGGGGGAGAGTGGCATAAGAGGCCATTTCGGAGTCGCGGGGTTTTCATTGTACTCAAGAGACAATGTGTCGGACACGGATGTAAAAAAATATCTGCCGGGGGTCTCGGTCAGGCGAGCAGCTAGACCGAGTTTTCCCCCGCGACACGGGAGCGAATTTCTCGCCACCTCTTCGCCTGGGAATCGGGACACTGTTATCCCTGACACCCTTCCTCCCTCGCCCGAGCCCGCGCTGTCTTAATTAAATTGCTCAAAGAAGGGAGCTTCTCGGCTATTTCTTTTCTCTTCCCTGGGATGTGAATGTAAAATACTGTACTTGATTGGCAGCCTTTCTTCCATCAGCCCTTCGGGCTCGTTTCTTTTCCGCGCCTCGGGATCCGCACTTCAAATTCGTGAACATTGAGGTCTTCCTCTACGTCAGTCCATCAGTTTTCGCAAAGATTGTTCACTGCAGCGAATACGAATCATGCAACCCAGAAAAAAAAAACTTGAATAAGAAAAACGCCAAGAGATTTTCATGTAGACTGGAAGGAGATGATGTTTCGAAAAAAAGGAAAGGAAGCAACTGTGATGATAAGAAAGACAAGCATTTTAGGGTTCCTTTTTATGTAAACAACATAACGGAAACGCATCAGAATGCAAATAAACGTAATATCTCTGCGGAGAACGCGATGATTTTCCAGACTATCTCGACTCCGTTTTGAACAATTGTCTCTCAACATTTTCTGACTTGACGCAACTTCATTACATAATGTGGTTTTCTTAACATCGAGTGGTGTCGGAGTACCACTGGGAATTTAACTTTACAGGAGAGAATATAAAATAGATGGTCATCAACTTATAATGCGAACCAGATGAGATCAACAGGGTTTTTAAAATTCTGATGAAGCTTTATTATTACTTCTTAATTCGGGGATGTTCAAAATACTGTAGTGTCGAACATTTTCAATTACAGTAATTAATTTATTGTGTGCGCCGTATTGAAGGCTTTTTCACGCCGGCTATTTCATGATCTTCTATGCTAGGCATGAGGAGCGCTTCGAAACAATCTATAATTGCTCAAAAAGAATTTAAAGTCAAGGATGGATTGTTGAGTACTGTAAAACGAAAAATTCCGATAGTTTTCGGTAACTCCGAAGGACGTTCGTCGAAAATCCTACTGCTTTGAGAATACAGTACATACGTTCATTAGTAAACTCTGCGATATTCGGGTTATCTGTGAACTTGAAACGGTTAACACTTTCCTCAACGTCTGCTCAAAAAGTCATTCTTCTTCAGTTTCTTTCAAACCTCTTTGAAAATGTCAACCACGTATCACCAGTTGAAGAACTTTGCTCCAAAATCAACAAGGACACCTCCTTCCAAGTCCGGTTAAATAAATTAGTTGTAACGCAGAGATCAAGGCCTTGAGAGATAGTTTCTGCAAAAATCACTTTATGCGTGAAATGTAGTCCCTTGCGTTCGCTGATCATGGAAAAGAAACAGAAAGAAGGATTCCCGAGAAATTGACGGTCGGGCGGAAATTTCAGTTCAAGAGATACCGGTTTGAATGTTTCGTCGAAATTTTCCGGAGGCACTTCTGCTAAAGCGGGTGCTTCCCGTAAGCTGCGTAGTTTGGATAACCGCAGAGTATTCCTCCTTCTTCTTATCCCGCAGATGTCCCCAAAGTGGAGTTTTTCCTCGGGAGCAAACTGGACCCGAAGAACATCAAGGTCGGAGACGACGTCTACTTCGATTGTTCGATCGACGCTAATCCGTCAGTTTTCAAAACCTTCTTCTCCCTGGACGTGAGTACGAACCGAACGTGCTTCGCTTCTGCATGCGGATTGTACCGGAACCTTTGCTTGCTTTGTTTTTGTTTCCGTTCTTTGTCGCCGCCCGGAGACGCGAGAGAATTTCCGCTCATGTTGCAGAGCTCGTCATGGTTTTCATCAGGATTGACGCTGTCTGATGTCGATTCCCGAGACTCCCCAGCCTTCGCGCGTGATCGTCGCGAGAAAAGCCACGGAAGCTTCCGAACACCGGGCATTCCAGATTATTGCTGTGCTGTATTTTTCTTTCTCTCAGTTCGAGCAACTGATCACGTGTATGCTATTCTAGGCCGCGTTCTATGATGTAGGCCGCACGCTGATTTTTGGCAGCCACAAAATCTGCAAACGGCTCTGAAAATTCGGAAGTTTTGAATGGTCAGCCCAGGCATACAACAGTATGTGCTCAATGGGCTTGATGCAATGATCATCCCAATATCCGTGAAATAAATGTACAATACGCTTATACAGTACTTGAAAGAAAGTGACTCAAGCATGAGGCACAAGCTCGATGAACTGTTTAAATTGCAAAGCCGAAAGCAGGGGTTCTTCAAGGATACGAATTTAAATACCAGTCATTTGAAGTCATAAAAAATGGCATAAAGCGGATTTTCCATGGTTTGTTTTGTTTGCCCGTTCTCTCATATTTTTTTACGCCTTGCAGTTACTTTCGCTTTCTTCATATGTTTAAAGCAATGCCGATAAATTTATTTTCCATTTGAAAATGCGTCAGATGAAAAATACCCCTAGATGAAACAAATACCGTTTTGACAAAACATAAATAGGTTTTTTTGAGAGGCACAACTGCAATTGTATTTGGTCCGTGAACCGCCTTTAAAAATGCAAATGGCATCAAGATACAGTACCTGCGTTTGATTAAAAAATCATGCAATCCTGAAATAACCTACCAAAACAGCGGGAAATGCTCGAGAAAGCTCCTGAGTGCTTCACAGTCTGGACTCTCCTTTTTTCCTTGGAGTTTAAATATTTCAACCTGATGCAAGATATTTTTAGTTCGAGGATAGGCCGCGTCGTCTAGTAATCTAGCCACTGCGGCCTATCCTCGAATATCTCAAGCATACAGGCCTACGTGTGTTTCTAGCGCAGTTCGTGTGGAAAGTGCGGCCCATGATAGCGTGAATAGACTGAACACTATCCCAAACTTCAAATGCCGGTCGCGGGCAGGGGTGGGAGGACGTTTCGGCAAAATTACACAATTCACTGGGTCCTTCCGCGGTAAGTGCCTATTGCTAATGTCTTCGGAAGGAAATGGAGCTTAGGAGGGTTGCGACGCGTTTCTTTTGTCAACGGAATGCAGGAAGTGGAGCGGGCCGAATGGCGGTGGGGGAATATTATACAATATCTTTGCTCCACGTCACGGGGAACCGCGGCATTGTCTGGCTCGCTGCATGATGATTTTTGTGTCGATGCGCGATCGTCTATTGAAGAAAACTGATGTGGCGGTCGGGAACCGCAACCCCATCGAATAGGTAGAGCTCTCGTCGGAGCCCCGGTCGCGGTTTTGATTCATGCCCGTGACTCTGCCCCCGCCCTGCTACCTGAAGCAGTCTGAGGAACGTAAGTGTAAATTGAAATTGCGGCTTGCATGCATCAGGGAACACCGTCATGCACTTCAACGCTGAGGTGCCCCGGGACCTCGGACGTTTGATGCCTTCATAACCTCTTCGGTAAACCCACTTCAATAACCCCACCCTCTTCAGCTCTCCGCTCTGTGTTTCAATGGCTTGAACGCTTCGTCCCTGTCATCTCCGACGCACGAATATTTCGAGCTCCTGAACAATGTGCGCTGTGCCGACATTGGATACAGCGGGAAAGAAACCATGAAAAACGCGAGGGTTCGCAAGGGATCCTCTCGCGCAAATATAGGAAAGATTTCTCAAGTGTTTTGCGAGCCGCCCGAAAAATGAGGTTCATCCTCAGGTTTTCTCATCAGGACGATTCAAAGTGTTCGAATCATCTTCAGCAAATTCCATTCGATCGATCAAAATCTTTTTCAGTAAATTGTGATAGGAAACAAGAAAAGTTTTGAACCCATAGATGTATAGGGGGTGATGGAATCCGTGTGACTAAATCTGCACAGGATGTAAAGGAGACCTGTGCGGTGTTTCATTCATGAATGATGAGAATTAAGACAACTAGGCATCTTGCCTGTGTTCCTGAACGGCTGAGATTTGGAGAATTTTTTGTTTGATCATTGAATAAATCATTTATTCCGTATGGCGAGAAAAAATGAGGCTATATTGAATACGAATGTGACGTTGTTAGGCAAGTATCTGAGCAAGATACTTGAAACCACGTGAGGTAGTTAGAGTACATTTTCAGTGAGAATTCAAATCCTATTCGGAGAATCCTCTCCATTTGTATGCAGTTGTTTTTTCATGAGTCTTTCCCATGCACTCGAAAGGTTGATACAGGTGCACTCTCTCTGCAACTAAATTCAAAAACAAAAACTCTAACCCTATGGGTTTTTTGTTTCGTAGGATTCAAAAATGAAACCCTATGGAAAAAAATCGTTATACAAATAAAATCTTCCTAGACAAAATCATAGTAGAGAGTCTATCTGTATTAGAGAACTTCTTGTCGCCTGATGAAGGGCTAGAGCGTTTTCATGAACAATATATTTGCCTAATCATATACCAGTTTTTATTTGTGCCTATACGTCCATGCGTGGTTGACTCGAAAGATTTTTTAGAGATCCCTCGAAGGCATATTTTGGCAAATAAACAACAAATATTTCGCTCGGCACACGAAACCGCGGAACACGCAGATTCGTACGTTTTACTTCTAATCTATTCCTAATAATATTCTGGGTCTTGAATTAAGGAATAAGCATTTTTTTTTTCAAGTCCACTGCCTCTGAAGAAAATTTTTTTCCGCTCTCGATGAATTTTTCATCGCATTTCAGCAGCGAGTGAGAACTAAAATTAGAAAATAATTTCCATAGCATCATTCTTCCGCGAACATTTCGGATTGACTCGATGCGATTTTTTTTGGACAAGATTTCTTTTTGTGCAAACCTGGAAGGCCCTGGTTCTCTGCTCACATCCTAGTTTTTTTTTTTGCGAGGCGAATTTACGAGGGAAAGGCAATAGCCCACCTGCCTGTTTAATGAAATCACTCCGACTTCGAAAGAACCAGCAGGAGAGAGCAGCTCGTAGAATATTGCAAGGTGACGCCTTGTCGACAAGCTGGTCTCGTCCTGTATTGACGGTTCTCTGGAATAGAAGGACGAAGCCTGTTCAAGATGGATGCAAAAAGGAAAGTTATAAACGCTGCTTTTTCTAACATTTCTGAAGTTTGTCAGGGTAGACGCCATGATTATTTTTCTTTTTGAAATCAGAAAAATCTGTTCTTTTTGCTTCGAGATCAATGGCGGTACAAAATTTCCCGACGAGCTGAGGATGGAGAGCAGAGAGGTGGGTGTTCTTGTCAAGTAACACTGGGTAATTTTCGCCGGATGGCCTCAAATACTTGCTTCCAGATCTCGATTAAAAGTAATAATTCCTTTTCACTAAAAAAATGAAGAAATTCAATTGCATGCCTTGATGCATGCATATCTGATGGTATTTCATGCAATGATGTACATTTTCTCCACGTTCTACCGAACACCTTTCACCAACATATATTGGCTGGAACAAGGAAATTCTTATGAATGTCGTGATTTTCAGTTTAAATACCTAAATTCCTTGACAGAGGACATCATTCATGCATTAGGAGAACTTACTGTAATTCATTATATATTGATGCATAAATGTGCGCACCACATTTTGTTTCCTTCAGATTACTATTTTTAAAATAAGTTCCAATGGACCCAATGTGGATTTGTCGGGGTAAGATAGCCCAATATCGTATTTTATCAATTAAAGGCAGCTTTTTTTCTATTCAAAATTATGCCCGAAAACTAGGACGCGGCCTACCCTCCAGAAATTCAAGTACTGTACAATACATCTCATACGAGTATATTCCGTTCCTCGGTCTCATATGCCCTATTCTTCAGATTGAAAATTTTGTTAAAACCGAAGCAATCTTCCATTTAAAATTGATTGTTTTCCTCCGCGACTGCCAAATTGTCCTCCAAATTTTTTATTTTTATTTTTCAGCCATTGCCAAAAATCGAGGTGCAGGAGGTGGGGACATAAATTTGGTAATTCTGTCACGGATATTTGTTCGATCCGTTTGATTTCGGAGCATAACTTTTCAGACAAAGCATCGGTACCTATCGACAGAGTAACGAGACTAGCGTAGCTTACTGACGTTGACATCCCTCAGCGAAATGCCGTGCAGACGATAGGGTGTTGCTGGTTGGCGCTTCGACGGTCCGCAAATATCGCGGTCCGTATTTTGAAAGCCGTTGCTCGCAGGAAAGATTTCAGTCCGGAAAAGTATTTTCTCCGGCATAAAACGGTCCATTAGCGAGTAGTATGCCCTGTTCCAATACTGAAGCAAGGCATGATTGCGGGGGATAGCAGCAAAAGTACTGATGGTCACTGCCATGGGGCAGTAAAGCGTTCGCGCCCCAGCTCCAGAAAAAGCGACTCTGGATGACTCGCTTGAAAAGCAGAGTTTCCGGACTCGGACGGCCGCGAGGCCGATATGCAACCCGGCCAGACGAGGACTCCAGGGTCGGTGCTGCGTAGCATTATACGCGTACTGTATACCTTATTTGGAATGAAAAACTGCGGGGAATGGGCATTGTCACGGACACGCGTTATCAGAGAAAAATCGCCCTTTCCCGTCGTTCCGGTCCTGTATGAGAGGAACCGAGCAATTCGGTAGCTTTGCGCGTCCGTGGTTTCGGAGCCAGCTGTGCTGTTCCGGCGACGAGACGAATCAGACCTAGTGGACAGAACAATCGTGCCTCGTACAATGAACACCCTGTATTATGAACATCTCATACAATGCACCCGAGTTCGGGGGAGGGAGAAGAGACTCGAACTGCGAACCCCGTTCCAACCATT